TTACCAGTACAAGGGAGAATTATTCGGTAATGTTATATATTTTGTATTCGTGGCTATTAGCACACCTTTGCTTAGGTTTCTGTCGGCTCAGTAAATTGAGTAGTTTAGGATATAAAATTGATTTTTTTTCCTTCAAGTGAGTTTCTGTGACGCAAAGTATATCCACAAGGTGTGAATTTAAGAAGTGTATTAGTTCTGTTTTTTTATTTGTTAAGCGGTTAGCATTCCAATTAGCGAGAGTAAAACCTTTAAGGTCGTGTTGCCGTTATTTCCGTTAATGTGAGCGGAAAATGAATTTTGAATGAGTTGATTATGGTGAGTTGTAATGAATTGAGGTGGGTATAAGGGTTATGGTGGCATTGGCCATATAGGAAGTAATTGCATTAATTATTGTATTTATAATGGGATAGTTGTGGCGTTATTCTTGGGGAAGGTTGGTTGAATTTGAATTATTGATAGGATTTGAGTGAGCCTTGGATGTGGTACTTCTAATATGGGTGAAGTTGTTGGAAATTGTTGTTTGAGGAAGAGGAGGGAGATGGGAGTTAGATTATAGTGGAGCTGGTTGGTGGGAAGATCAGTGATTTCTATTTTGGAGGTTGTTTTGGTTGACAGTTTTCCTTTTTTCAATGTAAATTTTTATGTAAGAGCAGGTGGAGTATCGATTATTGGCCTCGTGGTTGCCATGGCAGTTACGACACTTTGGTACTTGATTACGATTAGAACAAGTTACCGACTAGGGATTACCCAAACAAAAAGCGCAGCTAATTGAGCGGTTGCAGTTATTCTTTTCATGACCATAACCCAGACACCACTGACATTGTTCGGGACTGTGGGTTTTTCCCTTGCTTCTGTATTTACTCTATGGTTACATATTTGCTTAATAGCTAGAATGTTGTCTATTGGATCTTGCCTAAGAAACAGCTGCAACTACTGGGATAGGTATGTTTTCTTTGTGAAGTATGGTGATTTTTATTAGCGAAGGAAGGCGTTGTTTTAGGCCTTGATATATTTCTTGGTCAGTAATGGATTGGTTGACGTTCTTGAACAGTACAGATATATTTTTATTTAATGGGTTTTTTGAAGGAATGAAAACTTTGATGAGTGTTAATTAGATACCTAATTATGTTTCACAAGTCCATGGGCGAGTTTGCATTAACTTTTATTTTATTGTTTTTTTATCTGCAATGAAGTTTGGGTGCCTTAAGATTTAAGTTTTTTGATGAATGTATAATGTTGGTGATGTATGCTCCTATGATTGATGGTATTGGGTGTTTCACTTTGAGTACTAGGAAGGTCGTTTATACGAGCGAATCTATTTTCGGTTGCTTACTTACCAAGTTCACTTAGAAGTCCGAACCTATTTTTCACCGGCACATTAATTAGCAGAGAGTCAGATTTTGTTTTTTTTATCACTGTAACTATCGTGATTGCTACTGAATTTTTTGGTTTCACGCTCTACAGCATTGTCTGTTACTGACATTTTTCTGGAGTCTGAGGAGAGTTTTTCTGATAGTTGAACTGTTGGGGCTGAGTTGATTCGGTTCCTTGCCATCGACGCCGGGGGTGTTATGTTGATCGATGTTCTCCAACGTCACCTCCATTTCGTCTTTAATGAATTGATTTGGGGTATCTGGGATGAAACTTTTCAATATAGCTTGCTGGTTCTCACTGTTAAGAACAAGCAAATCAGCACTTACGACTTGTTGGAGGGCTGTAGCAGCATGCCATTCACTACACTAGTTTTCACTGAGTCGCACTTCACCGCACCGGAGCTATTTCAATGAATTATTTAGCGGTTGCACTTGTGTGGTTCACTGCACTAGATTATAATTTAGTATTGTCACGATGCGACGTGTGGCTCCCCGCCACTCCTTTACGGTGGCGAACTACGAAGTAACGGTCACAACAGATCGCTACATTACATTATTCCTCCAATAGTAATCTTCAATCAGTCGTGAAAGATCTGCAGCATCACTTCTCATTATTTTCCAACTGGGCCAAAAAATGGCACATTGAAATAAATCCAAATAAAAGCCAGGGAAAAATATTTACACTTCGAACATCAGATGCCTCTCCAAATCTCCCATACCAATCACAAAACATCATCTGCCTCCCCCCAATAAAACTGTCAAATAACTTAGTCCTATTCGATAAAAGGCTTACATAGTCGCAAAATATAAAACACAGAATAGCACCGCGACTAGTAGAGTCCATCAATTATATCCGATTCTCAAAAAATCATCTCCCCTACAACTACATGTTGCTATTCACCTCTATAAAGTAACGATACGACCCATACTTTTCTATTCTTCTCCAGTCCGGGCTGCCGCAGCCAAAACAAACATCAACAAGATCCACATTTTTCAAAATAGATTCCTACGTACCATCACAAAAGCTCCCTGGTACATTACGAATGCGCAGTTACATAATGAACTTGGCATTACTCCAATCCCCGTCCATTTTCCCCTCTTATCCGTAAAATTCTATTCCAAAATATTAAAGATCCCTTCAGCTATTCACTTTCACATAGGTAAGCAAAATCCTCGCCGCAAAAGGTTAAAAGGAAAGTTGCTGAGAGAGTTTTTCAATCCCCCAAAGACATAAACCGATGAGTCTTTTATCATTATTAACTACTGTATATAACCACTGTATAGTATTATATCTAACACTAAATTTCTGTTCATAATGCCTCAAGATTCTTGTGTATAAAACATATTAATGTATTTTTCTTATGCGTCTGCGAGGGCTAATGGCCAAGCTAGAGTAAATAAAAAAAGATAGGACTAATAAATTAGAGGGGTATGGTTCTGCATCCTGCAGGGACGGCGATTAACGATAAGTCCGAGTGGGTACTTGATCTCGGTGGGGTCCCCCCCCTTCTTCTCCCATTGAAAATATACGTGAAGGAAGAAATACACAACAGTTTTGTTTCAAATTTTCATCTTTATTATTACGAGTAAATTGTTACCAATTTTTTAAGTGACGTCAGTGGTTCATTTTTGCAATGCAAAAACGGCACTGCGCTTTGAATGTTTTTATGTAATTTGAAAATGTATCACAAGGTATGTGCAAAGGAACGATAAATTCGGATAAAATATATACACAGAACGACAGCAACAATGCGGGACAGAGGAGAAGCAAATTGATCTTGTAAACACTTTTGAAAATACAAAGCAATGGCGACATAATTAATGTAGAGCAAAATAGGGAGTGTAATGGTAAATAAAACAGTGTATGAGCACGTGAGCAATTTCCGTGAGTGAAGTAGTAAATTACGAAAGTAATTAGTAATCTATAAGCAAAGAATAAATAAAGCGCTAGGCTGACGTTGAGCCTCTGTAAAGACTGACTCAAAAATAAATTTATCATGACAGAGCAACCTCGGTACATCCTTCAGGCTAATGTAGGGTTAAATGAGTATAGAAATATTGAATTAAAATTAGGTAAAATAATAAAATAAATAGGTATAAGGAAAATACCTACGTCAAAATAAAATCTTTTAACAATTTTCAAATCGATTTTGTCGGTCATGTTGCTATCAACGTGGAAAATCTCAATACAGTTGAGTCGACCTTGCAACATGGTTGATCGCTCATACATTTTGAGTCGAGGCAATACCGCTAAAATTCGTTCATTTCTGGAGTTTGATGTTCATGGAATATGTCTCACCCCAAATTCCGAGTGGGTATTTTCCCCACTGGGAATTCTCCGCGTGGGCACAGCTCCCACATCATCCGCCGGGCCGGCCCCCGCGCAGGTTCTCGTTCGCCGTGACGCGCACGTTCCCGCTGCTGATGACGCTGTCGTGGGTGTACGCGTGCGCGTCGCTGGTGAAGGCGGTGGTGATGGAGAAGGAGGCGCGGCTGGCGGAGGCGCAGCGCGTGGCCGGCGTGGGCGACGGCGCGCTCTGGACCGCCTGGTTCCTCGACGGCTTCCTCGCCGGCGGCCTCTCCGCCCTCCTGCTCACCGGGCTGCTCGTGGTCAGCGCCGCCGCGCCCGGCTGGCAGCGTTTGCAAAACTCGAAATAATTCAGTTTTAGTATACTACGTCGCAAGACGCGACAAGCCAAGGCGAAGACACGAGTTCATGAGTGTTGCTTCAATCCCGTGCCTACTTCGCTTACATTAGGTATTGATCATTTAACTGACTTACAGCACTGACGTTCAAGTCGGTTTGCAGGTTTTCCTTTCCAGATATCTCCTCAAGCGGCTAACCGCTTCAATCGGGGCAAGCTCTAAGCGTCAGACTGGTCTCCCGACATGTATGGTAGTGTAGTGTACGTACGATATAAGTAAGTGTATTAAAGGTAGACATGGGGACAAGGTTCTCAAAAGGATCACAGCGATCCTTAGCCCGGCAATCAGCAGGTATTAAACGGATCAAACCCCGAAAAACTATCGATGCGAGCAGCCGGTAGAATTCTCCTCCTCAAAGTGCGTGGCAAGTCGTAAATTCTACTGCCTTCGGCACCAGCGATACAACATCGATGTCGATGTTTTAAAATTATCGATGTTTTTTATAAAATCATCGATGTATTTAACACTGTTTTTTTAGAATGATGTTTTTAACATTCATGTTTTGTGTTCCATGTTTTTAGAAGATCGATATTTTTTAAATGAAAAAAGTTCATCGTAAAAAATTCTATAATAATTTTCAGATATCCAAAAATTGAATATTCTTCAGACCAATGTGACGGAGAGTTAAAAATAAGTTAAATAGAGTTTTCGTCAATAAAGAAGTCTAACATTTTTGAAATCATATAATCCATGTTTTATTAATTGTGTTGATGACTTTGTTTTGTCTGCTAAATCTGTGTTAAAAGTTATTAAACCTTATCCCTTTCAAATTATATCCGCCCCCGCATAAACGTCTATGGCTAAAAATCAAATATAAAAAAACATGGATGTTTAATAACATTGATGGTTTTGAGTCGCACAGAAGTTCAGCCTCCCGGGCAGCGTGGCTGTTGCGCTGCGCAGGGCGGGCGCGTGCTGGAGAGCTCGGCGCCGTCGCTAGTGCTGGTCTTCCTGCTGAGCTACTGCGCGGCGTCCACCGCCTTCGCCTGCCTGCTGTCCGTCTTCTTCTCGCGTGCCAGCGTGGCCGCCGCCGTGTGCGGCATGGTGTTCGTCCTCTCCTACCTGCCCTACGCCACGCTCGACCTCTGGGGCCACTGGGACACGCCCGCCATCAAGTATATCGTTGTGAGTGCTGCTTCTGTCATCAGCGTTATTCGCTTGGAGCAAGACTGGAAGATGAGTTTAAGATGCGATGAAATTTACCTGTATGGAAGTTACATTTCGTAGATTTATTCAGCATTCCGCAGCTCCAGGCTGCTTGATACACCTCTGAATTGCGAACTTAAAGATGGATTTAAGAATTACAGAACAGTCTACGCAGAATATGAACGTGGCTTTTGAGGTTCGCATTCTAAAATCTATTGAAGAGAGATATTTTTACTTTTTCCCTACGGAGTTCAGAGAAACTTATGTAATGTTGCGCGAAAAAACGGGGAATTTTCGGCAGAAAAATTCTTATTACAAGGCCGTGGTAACAAAAAAGTCGATCAATCTAGTTGCTACATTTATAAAAAATGCTCTAACACGTGGTGTAGGCAATCCATATTTTGAGGGTGCTTGATATCGAAACATCGAATTGCAGCAAAACATCTGTCTGTCCGAGAAAGTAAAAAGATTGGGAATAACAATAATAAATAATAATATTTTGAAAGTGCCTTATAGTAGTGCCTTATAGTAGGGTAGTCTCCCAAAGCCCCTAGCGCCTTCTTGCGAGACTTATCCTGAGCACGTAAACCTAGGGTAGTTTGCCATTGCTTTCTCTGTGGGTGCTAGTGCGCCAATTTTTGACGTTTGATTTGAATATCAGGTAGCACAGGCCTAGATACAATATCCGCAAATATCAATTTCTTCAAATCGAAACTCTTATTGGTGCTAAATTGCTAGCGAATTTAATTTTGCAAGGACCGCCAAGTGCCTTTCCTGGGCCCTGTTGTACATGCCAACAAGCGTCCGTTTGCATGCCAACTATCTTTGGCACCTCAAAACTTCTCCTTCTTTGACCGGTTTTGAAACCGCGAACCTGAAGCTGAGATCACTAGTCTGGCATGATATTTTCTTTTAATTGAATTTGCATTATTTTACGTGGCGAGACTCGGGCCATCAGGCCTGCTCTTCCGTAACCACGCAAATTTCGCTACTCTCCTTTCATCAACTAGCAGAGAAAGGAGATATTTCTTGGGCGAGAAACAGGCGATTTTGAATTTTGCTCAGGGGCGTCATTTTGGCTTGAGGATCTTTTACATGCAAGTAAGTCTACTAACATGGGGCAGCCGGCTTTACTTCCCATCCGAAGGAAGGCGTACGAAGGATTTTTTCGCCCTTAAAAATCCATGGCTTCGATAGGGTTTGAATCCGCCAACTTGGGTACAACAGTCCGATACGCTAACCGTCACACCATCGCCACCGCCATAACCACTCAACTCAGCCGAAAACAACAATTATTATTATTATTATTATTATTATTATTATTATTATTATTATTATTATTATTATTATCATGATATAATGAGCGTGAGTGGTGTGTGGCGCGGAGGGGCTGCTGTCGAACGTGGCGTTCGGCTTCGGCTGCCTGTACCTGTCGTCGTTCGAGCTGCTGGGCGTGGGCGCGACGTGGGAGCGCGCGCGCCGCAGCCCCTACGACAACGACGACTACTCGCTGCTGGCCAGCATGGTGGCGATGCTCGTCGACGCCCTGCTCTACATGCTGCTCGCCTGGTACATCTCCAACGTGTGGCCAGGTGCGCCTCTACGCTGACGCGATCAGCTCGGCGCTCGTGAATGCAACGTGCCTCAAAATGAGAAATCGAGGTTTGACGTTTATCAACCTTTCTTAGTTGGTACCCAACTTATTCAAATGTTCAATGCGTTGCTATTGTTTTGTAAATTCTTGGTAAACGTGGCGCCTCCGACAGTTGCTATTTTCATGTTCACACTTTTTGTGTCCTATGCAACTTCATATTGAAAGGAAAGGTTTCAACAATAAAGTTGTCGGACTTACCTATCCTCAGAAACCACGAATGAATGAAAAAGCATCTAGAGATGAACTTTTAAAAAATAATATTTTATTTTTAATAATGTTAACTATCGCCAATATAACGAAAAACTATCGTTAATGCATTCCTGTTGTAAGGATGCACTAAATGGACCCGGGAAGGCAGTAAAGTAATCCATAACTTTTCAGTACTTTTGCTTTTTAAACAATGACTCCAAAAACGTCTTTGTTTCTAGAACACTTGAAGAAAATTCTAGAAAGATCCAGCTAAAAATGAAGCCTATCCATTCGTCTCGTCGAGAGCAATCGAATGCGATATCAATATTATAGGTGACTTTATAAGCCCCCAAAAGTGTTTAGATTCTTTAGGGGCCGTCCATAAATTATGTAACGCTAATTTGAAGTATTTTGAAAACCCTTCCTCCCACAGTAACGCACCCGTTACGCGCGCATGTACTCCACCAAAATGCTTTAACTTTGCAAAACTTGACGCTTGAATCCCCCCTTTACAAGAAATAAAATATATTATCTTACAGGAAAAACAATTTGTTTTGTATTAGATTTTAAAATTTATGATAATTAAAGTGAAAATTAATTGGCGATGCTGACTATATGTAACAATCCTCAGTATTTGTGCAGTGTTTTGTCTGTCCAGTGAAGTGTAAATTGCATCTAAACTGTTCAAAGTGCTACTTAATCTGTGCTCTGAAATTATTCTAAACTAGTAAGCGCAGTGCGTCCATCAACTGATCGTTACTCTTATTCATGAGGAACGAAAACAATGCCATCACACGGGAGTTAATCAGTGCGGTCCTACCCACATTAAGCGGTGCAGCACCACCATTGCCAGTCATCAATATGGACCCCACACGGCAGGTCATTCCAGCAATTTCGAAATGGGTGCGAATCACGCACCCCCTACGTCACCGATGGACTCGTAACACCTCGGCTCCATCATCAGGCATCCCACCAACCGTCAACCAAGTGGCTGCCGGGACTCTATCCGGTTAAAGATCGATAGAGACCCGCGAAGAAGGTGACAACAAACGCGCGGCAAACAAGGTAACACCCATCATGAAAATAACTCAAACTTTCACAAACAGTACAACGTAAAATTTCCAATATAATTAACTTTTTCAACGAACAATTGCGTGAAGAATCACTTGAAACAAAGAAAATTACACCATATTTTTTTGTTAACGTCACCAACAATCACACTGACCTTATTTGTGAAATTACAACAGAATACACTAATAACTTTACAACAGAATTCAAGACCATCAAAAGAAAAATTCTATTCCGGTCCACACAAGATTTCCGTAGTACTGTAAAATATTTTATTGAAACCAACAAACAATTTCTTACCTGTAGTGAACCCTCATGTAATAAATTTTCAATTGCGTTAAAATATATCCACCCATTAATCACAGAACAAGAAATACTAGCAGTCATAAAATCCCAATTTCAGTCAGTTATCAAAGTAACAATGATAATGAAAGACATGATGACATGAAAGACAATGCACCAACTCCAGTTGTAGCAGTCGAGTTTAGTTGTAAAGACAAAATAGAATCAGTCCTCCAATCAATAACGTGTGCAACTTAATAGTTAAACCAAAAAAAGAAGGAAAACAAAAGGTCATATTCAGTGCTTAAGATGCTTAGATTTCGGTCATACCTGTAACCACTGTAATTAAATTTCGTTCCGAATATATTTTTGACGTTCCGAAGGATTTGGAATTCTTCAAATTTATTGTAATTTAATAATTTTTAATGTGAAAATTAAACTTTCATGTTTTTCTAACATATGAAATATATTCATTGTTCACAACCAAATATGTTCATTACTCACAACCAAAATTACAACAGGTGTAATATTTTCTTCTAAATTAAAGAAAATGTAAACTCGTAGGTGTACGAATATTTTTTGAGTGTAAATATCAAGTATCGTATCCTTAATACTTCCAACGATAATAAAAAGCATACATAACTTGATAATCTTGTACTTAAGTAACAATTATGGCCAACCTTTCCCTTAAACACTTTACTATTCTCTATTGGAACGTAAACAGTATTTCAAACAAAAAATCCGAACTAATACATTTCATCCAACAAACGTCAGCTGACATTGCTTGTATAAAAGAAACTCACCTCTACAGTTCAATGAACGTTTCAATTCCAGGTTTGCAAACTTATAGATCGGACAAAGAAAATGATGAAGGAGGAGGAGTTCTAATTTTAATCAAACAAAACATCCCACACTATCAGTTAATCCCACCACCCACGCCTGGCCTCAAAACATTATTAATTAAAATACTATTAAATAACAACACTGATCTCAATATAGTAACAGCATACAAACCTCCCAAAATTAAAATAATGAATAACAATATATCTGCATTATTACAATTACTTACTCCAACAATCATTATAGGAGACCTCAATGCTAAGCACCACTCATGTGGATGCCGAGTCCAACTCTGCAGGCAACTTCTTAATTATATTACAATCTCAAATACCTTTCTTTATTATTTCTCCTCCAGATCCTACATACTATCATTTTGATTCTCAGAAAAATCCAGACATCCTCGACATAGCACTCACAAATTTCAGTTCCCAATTGAAGTCGATTACTTAACATGAATTACATTCCGATCACATCCCACTCATTATCTCTATCCATCCCCCAGTCTCCCCCCCAACTCTCCCCTCTTGGATATCCCTAAACACACTTAATATAAACTGGAAAACATTTAAGAGAAATATCAACTTCTCAATCCCTCGTTTAAAACATTAAAATCTCCAATAGACATTGTCGACGCAATATCAATATTCAATAACACAATAATTAAAGAAATAAACAAATTAAAAAAACAAAATTCTAAACTCTAATACTAAACTAAGCAAACCTTTACCTGCTAAAATTATCCAACTAATTAAATTAAAAAATAAAATCAGAAGACTCTGGGGCTTATTAAGAACATCATCTATCAAAAAATAATACAATCATTCAAATAACACTTGCAAAAAGGTATTGTACACTTACGGACAGAACAAATACACGACCCTATTAAAATATCTAAACGTAAAAAGCAACTCTTTATGGCAATTTACAATAACATTCTGAAAAAAGTAATTCAATTCCACCTCTATCAACAAACACAGGCACAATACACTGTCATAGCGCCAAAGCTGAAGCCTTAGCAAAGAATTTCCAAAATACCTTTAAACCTAATAATACTCCTTCACACACAAAGCACCCCGAAATCCTCCAAATAGCCTCTTCCCCCATCTTTAACATTCCTTACAGAATAAAATACATCTCTCCTCGCTAAACAAATATACTAATTAAGAACCCCCCAAATAAGAATGCCCCCGGACACGATAAAATCAGTTCAATAATCTTAGAAAATCTCCCACCGTCAGCCTTAGCCTTCCTGAACAATATTTATAATTCAATTTTCAGAACTGGATACTTTCCCCAAACCTGGAAACATTCAGTTATTCACCCCATTCTGAAACCGCGTAAAAATCACTCCAAAGTAGACAGTTACTCAGCCCATCAGTTTATTAACCGTTATTGCCAAAATATTCGATAAAACTAATTCTTGCCATATTAAACCAATATCTCAAACATTAGCATAATACCCAAACATCAATTCGGTTTCATAGATCACCACTCAACTGCCCACTAATTACTTAGAATAACAGAACACATCCACTCTGAATTTCAGAAAAAGCAACACACAATGTCTACTATCCTGGACATCACGCAAGCACTTGACAGAATCTGGCAACCGGGTCTAATCTATAAACTAATAAAAGCTGGAACCCCTACGTACATTATTCACGTCATCAAGTGTATCCCAATAGACCGTACATTCTCAGTAATAGTCACCACACCATCGAATAACCCCCAGTCCCTATGTAACGCTGCTTAACGCTGCCTCAAACCCCCATCCCCCTTTTTAGCGTTACGTAATTAATGGAGGACCCTTTAACCTCTCGGCCACTCCAATACGTTTATTCGAAAATTCATAAAAATAATTAAGTTTAATGATCGTGTATCTCAGGAGTAAAGTCGTAACGATTCGCGTAAATGCCGTAAATAAAGTATAGTACTTCACAAAATTTCACCACTTTCCACTGAAATGAACGAAAACATGAATAGTTTTGAGAATTCTTCCAATATAACCTGGAGGGAAAGAATTTAGAAATATATTGACCGTAAGCCGATGTTTAGTATATGTCTGTCCATATCTCGCCTTCCAGCGGGGTAACATTACCGCCACTATCCGCAATAAAACGTGTAAAACTTAGAGAACTAATGACCTTAGCAGTTGACAAGCCAGGAATCACTATTCAATCAATCGAGGAATTGTCATTTGAGCGTTATTGAAAATGCGCAATTAGAGCTCATTTTCACACAAAAGCTTTGTTTTCCAACATCTTGCCAGAATAAGAAATCATTAGAACCACTTGTGTTAAAAATGTAATAATGCTAAAAACGCCCCCAATGTAAATATTAACGACGTGAAGGATATTTTAAAAAATGCATTTAGATAATTTTAGAAAAATAAAAAGAATACGACAAAATGTCCTATGCGTTATGTAACTCAGTCCACCTCTCCATACAAAAGGGTTAAAAAAACAATTGAAGCAACTGTTAGGAAAATGGTAGATCGTTTCTAAAAATGCGGAATTTTGACTCTAGTTATGAAAAAAAAACGTTTTCTAGAAACTTTATAATCCATAATATCTCCATATCCGTATAACTAGTGGTGCTACAATTATCACATTCTCCCATTATTTCTAAATTTGCAATTTTCGAAAATTCAGAGTTCAACGAAAATGAGACCTGTGCCATTCAATTCAACGTTCTTTGTTCTATCATTGGAAAAAATGAAAGAAAAGTATTTGGAGCGGGTTTTGACAAAACGTTGGTTGCTTTTTTTTGCCTTAATATCAGGCACAAATTCTGCTATAACTACTCATTTGTTTTCAAAATAATTTACAAAAGATGATTTGTATTTGATTTGTAGAACAGATTTTGTTTAAGGCCAAAATCTCGATTTTCATTTGTGTAGTTTTGAAATAATAAAAGTTTGCAATTTTCGAAAGTACAGAAGTTGGTCGAAAAAGGGACTAGCCCAGTTTTACCGACTTATTAATTCTTAAATTTTTTAAAAATTTCCCCATATTTCCGAAATAATTATGCGTAAACGACTCGTATTTACGAAAAATTTTATGACGTTTTTTCATGTTCTGTCTTTAAAGAACAGATTTTATTCAGGAAAAAATCATAATTCCATACTGCAGTGGCAGGATAAGCCACTTCAGTATAGAAGGATGATAAGCAGGAAGTTTTCGAAATATTAGAGACTTCAATGATAATGAAACATGGGCTATCATTTTAAGCATCTTTCGCACTTCCCGAGGAAACCAAGTTCAATAACAGAATTTAACAGCTTTTCAGGTAATTTTTTAAAGTGTTTTTGAGACAGAACGTATTTGTTCAAAGTACCGCCAAAAACCAAGATCTCTCTTTCAACGCCTTAAAATACATAATATATTGTATATAAACCAATATTCAGTTAAAATTATCCATTTTTACTGCTCGTGTTTTATTCCCGTTTCCGATATATTAAATAATTTGTCCTTGTGGGTTGCTTTTCTGGATTTTTCAGATTTTTTGTGAGTTTTTAATATAGTGAACACACCTTTTAAATCTTATTTCAAAAGTTGTTTAAAATGTCAATAAAATACATTTCTAGCAATCTTTCTGTTTTTAGATTTATTTAATATAGAAAACCTCTCCATGCAGGTCGACATGGTGTTCCTAAGCCTTTGCTTTTTCCGCTGAAACGAGCATATTGGTACGGTGTAAGTGAACCCGTGAAATCTGCAGTTTCTGGAGGTTAGTGAAGTTGTTTTTTGATAAAGATTGTAAGGAAATCTGCCCATCTGCAAATCTGCAATAATAATTCTTAGTATACAAATAGCTATTTTCAAAAGTATGCTATTTGTCATTGTGCATGTAACATAATGAATATTCAGGTCAAGTGTTGAGAACATAATGCTAAAAAAAATTGCAAGTTATTTTTGTTTATTAGAATACTTGTTTATAAAGGTGAGAAAGCTAATTTTGTAAATTCAATATATTCCACGTTTTCTGTACATTCGGCAACTTGGTCTCATGAAATGAACATAGGTTTGATTGGTCTTGCAAAAGAAAAATAATTATCATAGAAGCAATTTTTGAAGAAATTTGTAAATATATTTCAGATTTAACTCAAAAATATTTCGTAGAATTGCCCTTCATTGGCTCTGCCTATTAAATACCTATAAATTATTTAAAATTAGCTATTTCAGATGAATCCTTAGACGATGAAGACTTGGCTGCAGATGAAAATGGCGACGACGAATTATCAGGTAGGTTCTAAAAAATACAAAATCTTATCTTATTGAAATACATTGAATTTGCTGTATTCAAATATTTACAATTTTCTCATTTGTTGTTGGAATTAGTGGTTTAGGACTGATCATTACCATAAGCGTGATAGTCAAGCAATGAGTTGAGGAATTTTTTAGTTCCTGTATTATAACTAGTGGTGTTACAACCGCACAGACGTTCTCGTATTATTTCTAAATTTGCAATTTTCTAAAATTCAGAGAGTTAACGAAACTGAGACCTGCACCATTCTTTTAAATGTTCCTTGTTCTATCCGATGAATCAAAATGAAAGAAAACATTTAGAGCAATTTTTGAGAATATTTTTATGAATTGATTTAATTTTAAGCAAAGATTACGCAAAAACTACTTTAAAAAAATGTACACGACTTTTATAAAGAGCTAGTTTATTGAAAAAAATTTGTTTAGAGCAATAATCACTATCCTCAATTCTGTACTTTTGAAAAGTTAACATTTTGCAAAATACAGAGTTCGCCGAAAACCAGACTAGCACCAATTTTTTACTGCCTTTTGATACATAGGAGAAGAAATTTTAAAGATACAATTTGGAACCATTTCGAGAAAAATATTTAAAAAAAATAAATTGTGTGTATTGTATGCAAAATTTCTCATTTATTTGGACAATTGTACATGACTTTATTTAAATATTTCTTTAAATAACATATTACATTAAGGAATAATGCCTTATCTTCAATATTATAGTTGTAAAAAGACGAGGAAAAGTGAGAACTTTTAGGATTTTCGAAAAATGTTGCATTTTAACGAAACTTAGTCCTGCAACCTTCCCATAAACGTCAGAAGACAAAGTTTAACCAAAAAATTTGGACCCATTTTGTAAGAAAAATTTGAACATGTTTTTGAGACTTCTTATAAAGTACACCCAAAACAGAAATATCCATTTCAAACTCAAATGGCATCGAGTTTATTTAAATAGGTTGGGGAATATCAATTCTTGGAGGGAAACCGGTTGAACGGTTTAGGTGCTTGCTTTGGTCTCAGACAGACGGGCAGACGCACTGACAGACTATCGCCATCAACCGATTTTTCGTATCAATTATTCACAAAACATGGATTCTGGCTACAAGCTCATAAAATAGTGTACTATGTAAAGAAACAAGATTTAACGACGTTTTTGTTCCGAGGGCCAGAAAGTTAAGTTTTTGTTTCGAAAATTTACCGTTTTCTGGCTTACGATTACAATACGTTAACTTTTTATTAAGTGCAAGAAAGTAAGAAGGAGAATATCGATATCTCACAATAAAACGCTCACACACATTAATTAATAATTTCCATTTAATAAGATTTATTAATATTTCAACATGTTTTATCTACGAAACTTTTTTTCGTCAACTTCAGATTTTCAAATATTAAAGATAGCAAAAAATTGTTTAACAAATTCAAAAATACTAAATGACATCATTCAGTGGGCAATCTTTAACAACAATAAAAATAACATTTTTCCTCGAATCCTTTGCGACCATAAACTACAGTACATACCAATACGTTATTATAATACATGAATCACATATACTCCTTCCTCTTGAGATAGTTTTTATTTAAACTTGTTTTCATTGTTTGTAAATCATATTGAGATTCCTCAGTGTGAAGAGAGCAATTTCTTTTTTACTCAATATTTTTTTATTCTTGAAGACTTAATTTGTTGTTTTTTTTTCATTGTAGTTTTATTGGGTTCTGAGTAATTATTGGGGAAATATATATTTCTTTTATCTTTCTCGCTTATGTTTATGAACTACTTAGTAGTAATAATAGAATATATTATATTGTTTAGTTACAATAGAATTTAACCTAAAATTTCTTAACTTCATTCAAAATGAATATTTTGGGGGTATGAGACTATTCTTGTGTACCGAGGATACGCCAGTTGACTGAAAGCAGTGCTATTAATTAATCTCGCAACTTTTCTTGACCAATAACCTTGCTTCTCCTCTAATGGCGCAATAAACAGTTGAAGGCAAAACCTCGCAGCGAGACTAATGGCAACATTCCAAACACGTTTGCACTGGCATGGCGCTGGAAAAATGAAACTATTTTCTAGTGAAGACGAAAACTTCTGTCTGTGATTTTCTTAGAAAAACTCTAAAGAATTGATCGAAGCAAGTGAAGATGCACTACAGGAGATACCTCGAACTCCTGAGACAGAACGCAAATTATTGAGAAAGTTGCAAAGGTATGATGTACCCAGAGTTTGGCATCACTTCAAAAAATCTAGAGGCCCATTTCGTAACTAAAACCCCCATTTTACCCGGAATTCTTCAACCCAGCGGTCAAGAAAAGTTGCGCGAGCGCTACCAACCACGCGATGCAAACGCTTTGAAGCGAAGTGCGCGGGGCGCGTGGCAGGGTCGTGGCGGTGGGGCGCGCCCGTGCTGGAGCCCGCGCTGCCGCACCTGGTGCCGGGCATCCGCATCCGCAACCTCACCAAGGTGTTCCCCGGCGGCCGCCTCGTCGTGGACCGCCTCTCGCTCACCTTCTACGAGGGCCACATCACCGCCTTCCTCGGCCACAACGGCGCCGGCAAGACCACCGTCATGTGCGTGAGCCCTTGGCACCACGGTTAACTAAACCAGTAAGATTTATCGTCGCATGCCTATTTCTCCACCAGACAGACAGCCTCCGTACTTGAGGGCATCAAAACACATTCTATTATCAATCGTTCTCAGGGAGTGTAACGAAATGAGTGCGGGCCCGCCAGCAAAACTTTTATCCGGGCCCCTTTATTATTGTATATAGAAAATACAAGTAGTGTTAGTACCTTAATTAACTAGTGGTGGTACAACGGTACATACTTTCTCGCGTTATTGGAAACAGCAACATAATATTGAATTATTGCATTTTGAGCGCTACTAAAACTTCAGTTACAATTAATTGATAACGTCCACTTCACACAAAGCGCCTGTGATGCATATCCATTCATTTCGATAGTCAGGAGCAGCAATCATTTTTTACTTTGACAAATGAAACAAATAGGAACACATTTGACTGATTCAGTATTCGCAGCAAATTATACAGAAAAGTGCAAGTCATTGTTGCCCGCGCAGCGTTGTAAAAACTATGAGCATTCGCTTGGCTAATAATCTCAATACAGTAATTAGAATGTATGCAAATTACATCAAAATACTTACGAAAATTATTATTTTAAATAATTACGATTTTAAAAACAATTGCGAAGATAATATGTTTGCCGACGGCAAAAATCTCTATCTTCAATTTTGTAGTTTCCAAATGATTTTGGCATTTTCGAAAAAAAAAACGAGAAATACCCGAAAATGAGACTAGCATCATATTTCTTACAGTTCTTTATTACATATGTGGCAGAAAATTTAAAGAAAAAATTTGAAGCGGTTTTTGATAATTTTTTTGTAAATTTCAATAAAAAATACGAAAAAACTATTTTAAAAAATCTACATTACGTTTTTTGAAGAGCCAATTTTGTCAACCAGACTTTGTCTGGGGCAAAAATCTCTATCTTCAATTTTGTAGTTTTGAAACGTTATTTTTAAATTTAAAAAAAACGAGCAATACCCGAAAATGCGACTAGCTCTATCTTTTTTTACAGTATCTTATTACATAAGTAAAAAAATGTAAAGAAACAACTTGGAGAGGTTTTTGAGAAAATAATCGTACATTTCAATTGGAAATAACGTAAAAACTATCCCTTTTTCAATCAAATGTACATGACCTTTTTTATGGAGCTAATTTGTACAACATACTATGTCTGAAACAAACATGTCTATCTTCAATTTTGAAGTTTTACAAATAATTTTTCCAATTTTCGAAAAATCGGGGATATCAACGAAAATGAGACCTGCACATCTTAAACGTCCTTGGCACTATTCAACAACAAAATTTAGTCAAAGAATTTGGAGCCTTTTTTTGAAAATTTTAAAAATGTCCCAGGGGTTTCCTGTAAAGTACATCTCACCCTAAATTAAAATATCGGTTTCAAATCCTAGAGATCGCAACGTCAGCTGTGAACATGATAACGCCAACATGAACGATTGGGGAATATCAATTTTGGAAACAATCGGCAGAGCGATGTATGCGCTAAGGTTTTGCACAGACGGTTGAATAGACAGACATACATACATACAGACAGACATTTTGCTATTAATCGATTTTTCAGTATCAAGGTCACAAAAAACACTGATTTTGGCTGCATCACGTGTTAAAGGATTTTTTTCTAAATCTAGAAACTGGATTTATTCTCTTTTTCCTTGAATTCTCGGCTATCCGGGAGACGCCGCGTCGTTGGCTGGGGTGCCGACGTTTCGCCTGACATGTCGCAGGCTTCCGTCACTGCCCTGAGGAAGCCTGCGACATGTCAGGCGAAACGTCGGAAGCTTACGTATAACCCTTTTCCCTTACCAGGACCCGGCAATATAAGTTTTTGTGTCGAAAATTGGCCGTTTTTAGCGCACGTTTACAATACTTTCTTTTCTTACGTTAGTAAGCGCAAGAGAATAAAAGAAAGTAAATTTTTTATGGTAAAATCGTCCCGTCCAAATTGGAATTCATTAGTCTATGATTAATTACCAATAGTGGAAAAATCTGCCTTAATTACTTAAATTTATGAGATTAGGACTGTTATAAAACCCAAATGATTTGCCTTCATTGATTTAGGATCAGGGTCACATAAGCTACCGAAGCGGAAAAAATCCCGATAACAGAACTAGAAGCGGTATCGTTCCCGATAGTGACTCTGCCGGAACTATCATCTTGGAACTTAGAGGGTCGGGGTGCTGGTCTCGTCACCGAGAACCGGAACCGGGTGTCGTTTTGTCCAGTTCTACTCCGCACGATCACTCTGGAGACTGCTGAATAAGTCTTCTGCTTCGAAAAATTATTTCGAGAGTTATCCTATCATCGATTAAAGCAGATGACATCTTTGATGATTGATGACTTACTCTCTTATTTTAAGAGTTCTCAAACATTCAACAAAGTTTTATAACTGCCGATTCTGTTGCTGAGATCGCTAAGGCAGTAGTGCCGTAACAATCTCGGACTGAAGGATCGTGGGTCCGAGTCCCGCCTTGGGCATGATTGTATTGTGTTTGTCCTTTCACCCCTTATCATCATCATATCGTGTCATCCTCACAGTTATCATATCGTTGCAAGCAATAGTGGTCACTAATGTCCTAGAAGTTGATGCGTACTTAAATAACAAAACAACATTTAAAAAAAACTGTTATAAATCAAGATATCAATTAAATCATCGCAATAATCATGACTGAGCAATTTTAGCAGAATTGCATGTGTTTTTGCTGATTCATATTCAGTAATCTCATTGTCTCAGGCACATAACACCTACACATCACGTAAAGACAATGAAATGTAAGGTTTTGTTTTTCAGCTCGTTGCGATCAATGCATTTCTGCATTTTCACTGAAGTGGTTGGGCGAAATAGGAGGATTTATGGCCAGAGCCTCGTCCCCACATTTGGCAAATACCGATTTCCAAACTTTTGTATTTAAGACGTTTCTTTGCCTCCTTGGTTACGTCGTTTTGATCGCAAGACTCAGCAACATCTACAAGGAGACACGATTTTTTCTCAAAATCCCGGATAACAATATCCGGTTTGTTTGCTATCATGCGATCCATTTAAATTTGTTGGATGCAAAACATTTTATAGAGTCCAAGAGATGTTACCGGTTTTGGTGCGTGTTCGTACCACGTGGGGCAATTGTTTGGAACTTCGAGGGCGATACAGATCTGTCTGTGGAGGTAACTAATCACCCTATCGTGTCTTTTCAAGTATTGGGTATTTGATAGAATTGGACAAGCTGTGATAGTATGTTCCTGGCAGATGCGACATTTACCATCTTGGAAAATTTTGAGAACTGCTTTATCATAATGTGTTCTCAACGGTTGATCCTGGACAGCTATTAGAACTGCTTCCGATTCTGGCTTCGTTCTACCCCTTTTAAGCCACATGATTGATTGATCTGTACATTGTCCACCATTTTTAGTTAGTGTCCATGGAGTGATTTCTCTCTATGATTTCTTTAACATTTTTGTGTCTCACATTTCATCTTAAATAGCATCTGAAGTTCAGTGTCTTTGTTATTCTGCGTGTCTTAGATAGTCTTGTTCGCAATGCTGCTTGTTGCACTTACAAAGCCTCTGTTTCCCATTCTTCGGTCAGATTTAATGAATTGACTCATTAGTGGGTCATCATACATACTTTCCTATCTCTACTATTGCATTGTACCAGGAGACTTCATTTTGTCTAAGTCCTCTTCCTTCTTCTTTACGTGAGACGGAAAGGCTAGCTCGAGGATGTGCGACATGATGCATTGTTAGAAGTTTTCTGGTTTTTCGATCTATGATTCGAATTTCTTGCTCAGTCCAGTCCACGAATCCGAAACTGTATTCGCCTACAGGCACCGGAAAACTACTTATTGCAGATATTTTATTCCTGGATTTCAGAGTGGACTGCAGGACATGCCTTACTCTTCTGTAATACTCTCTGCGATTTCTCTCTTTCATTGTGTTCGAGATGGTCTCACTTTCTTCAATTCCCAGATATTTGTAACTTTTACCTGGTCCAAGATCTTGAATCACAGATTTTGCACAAACCTTTTATACAGTGTTTTTTTTTAACAGTTGTGCACACACACGCTGGTGTTGTTGAGGGTTAATATGCTCAACGTGCAAGAATTAAAAGATAAACGTCATCGTTATCTTGTGTGCAGTTCGATGCTGACCGGCCTGCTCTCTCCGACGTCGGGGACGGCCTTCATCCGCGGCCTGGACATCCGCCACCACATGCCCGACATCCGCCGCAGCCTGGGCGTCTGCCCGCAGCACAACGTCCTCTACGACAAGTAAGCGGCTTTCATTTTGTGAATTCGTTTTTCTCACAAGGAATACACAACAAATAAATATTCAAAATGTTGCTAGATAATGCTTTCAACGTCAAAAAGATGCAGCGAAAATGTTACACAGAAGATTTTTAAAAAAAGCGTTCAACTTTATTGCAGCTTTTATTACGGATCATATGGCATTACGAAGGGTCGTAAAGCCGAACGCTATCTCGCTTGAGCAAGTGTGTAACAGCAATATAACGTGTAGGGGTACCGAGTTAATTTGCTATCAAGAGTAATTTTAGTCAAGAAAGATTGTTCGAGTAATATTTGTAACAGAAATATATTTTTCTGTTTTCGTATAGATACCGAGAAAGACTTTCTCAAAGGAAATAAGAGGGTCTCCACGGGAGGTAATAGAAATCTACGAGTGTTAATTTCAGCTGATTTATTATTAATTTTCTGTTGACGTCTAATATATTAAATGTAGAACTTAAACCGTTTCTCCAGATGACTCCACTTAAACTGCTTCAAACATTTCTCCAGAGAACCAAAAATTAAAACATCGTTATTTACAAGAAATCAGTGGCACTATAAAAACACATTTTCCACACTATTAATAACTTCTGCAATTTTCGAAAATTGTGAAAATTCAAGGAAAATAAGACCTGCTTCAGTTTTAAACACCTTTTACGCTATCCGCTAAAGATAGTTGAAGAAGCCGCTTTTGAGAAAAAAATGTATTAACATGAAGCAGAAGTTACGGGAAACTACTAGTATTAAAAAAATGCTCTTTATCTTTTTTAAAGATATAATTTTTTGCATTTATTTTATTTAAGAAGATTACAAGCACATTGCAAACCCTTTAATGCTATGAGGCGGGGCGGGGCGGGGTAGGGTAGGACAGACGGGCATGCAGGTCGATGGACGTTCAGTAGTCAATGTTTCGATACCAAGGACTCACAAATCGTGGATTGTTACTACACAATGTGTTAGGGCAAGTAATTTACTAGATACAGGAATATATTTTTCTAATTTTTCGTTATCAGGGCTTGGTAATAAGTTGTTTTTTTGTGCGAAATCCCCAATTTCTTCTGCAGCATTATCATTTTTCCTCTTTACTATGGAAGTGTGTAGAAGTGCAGAAAGTAACAAAGTTATGTTCGTAATTGAAAACTTAAAGAAACAAACGATTGCCAGTTTCCTGTGGCTGGCGCAGGATGACGGCATCAGAGCACCTGTGGCTGGCCGCGCGGCTGCGCGGGCGCTCTGCGCAGTGCTTGCGCGTGGAGGTGCCGGCCATGCTGCGCGACCTGGGCATGCAGCACATGAGCAACACGCAGGCGGTGGCGCTGTCTGGCGGCGCGCGTCGGAAACTGTGCTTCGCTACCGCGTTCGTCGGGAACTGCAGGTGCACTTCGGGGCAGCTGGCTGCGCACTTCTTTTCATCTCGCATTTCTCTAGATGTTAATTGTAATGTTTGAATGAGATAAAGAACTCCATGAAAATGCAAAACAATAAATCTTCAGGTTTAGGAAGCACTGCTGTAGAACTACCCAAAAATTCTCCAAGCAATGTATTCGGAATTGCCATTTCACTTTATCATACACTTACTACTTATACACCAGATATTCCCATATTTTCCTTACATCAACCCCTTTTATAAGAAATATTTGCTTCATAGTCCTCCTTGACTTATTTTATCATGTACAGCATACAAAATAATCATAATGCACGTAATTGCACATAAATGACTTAATAACAATTGCATAGACATGGAATATGAACAAAGGTTTAAAAAAGGTTTAATTTTGTTTAATGTTATAATTTTCAATTTTTGAACATTAATAACAATAATAATAATAATAATAATAATAATAATAATAATAAGACATCCTCCCTTTTGTATTCCGCCCTCCCCTTTTCAGCGGAAGTAAGTGGGTGGATCGAGTAGCTCACTTCCGTTACCTAAACTCCAAACATTTTCCATCTGGAAAGGTTTCCTATTCTTCCTTTTCCGTATTTACCCTCGTCTCCCGAAGTCCAACCCTACGTCAGAGTGCACATCATCTCAAGCTTCGTGAGAGAGTGTTAAGTCGATTAAAAACGGTAAACAGGGCAATGCAAAATACCCATAGAATCATGAAGACACGTTCAAATAGTCGTAAGGCCTCAGAACTTGAGCCGCCGATGGCAGAGAGTTGATGAGGGGAACCTGTCTCACTCAAAGAGCTACAGCACAACTTTAACCAGAACAACCGAATGTGGAATCCGTAGAGGACGGTGCATATAGTGCCACTCCAAATGCTGCTCATTTGCTTGTAGGATTGAGTAGTAGAATGACCATAGAGGAAGGAAACACAACCGAATAAAATGGACACGAGATATGAATGTTGAAATTATTATAATATTTTAGTGTTAGTCGGTGTCACATCCAGGATAGAGAGTGGATCAAAATCCAGAGAATTTGATGGAAAAATGAAGTATTATAATTTAAAATGGATATCTGACCCCCAAAAAATGGGAAAACACTACGTCGAAAAGTTAGGCACGAATTAAAGCCAATTAATCCGGGAAAAATGCAGGGAATAACCCGTGAAACTACTTGTCCGATGTCGGTGGAGGATGGTACCGAAAGCATTCAAATGATATAAGAAAATGAAAACTCTATTCTGACCTACGTCCAGTCACGGACTTTTCTTTATCCCGCTGAAAAACCTGTGAGGACCTCCAATGGATCAAAGAGTAAACAAAATACTGAAGGTCTGTGGTTTGACTAAGACAGCAGAACTACCACCAATCGCGAACCGAGCAGAAGCCGTACCAAACTGCGAACAAGAAGATGGAAGACATTCATCTGAGATCCGACATTACAAAAGGCAACCAGTTCAGCATTGCGCACAGACATTAGAATTGTGTCGATTGAACGTTATCCGGAGAATTATATGTAAGGAGATATGGAAGAGAAGATAAGCTCCAACTAGTAGAAGGTAAATATCTTTTGCAATCTTATTTCATTATGATAAATACTTGAATACGAAAGGCATTCAGTAAGTAACATGTGCATGAAAAAGAAATAAGCACGTTGCTAACCTGAGTGTATTTTCTCTATTTATTTTACCTTTTTGTTTTGACTAAATGCTTTTGTATTTTATATTCTACAACCTGTATTCGACTGTAAGCGCAAATCTATATTTCGAACTTGCATTGTCTGGTATCGCAACTAAGGAGTTAACCCAACCAAGAAACATCATGTCTCCAAATCCTTAATATAAAAGTATCATCAATAACTGAGGTTCGAAGAGCGACCACTCTCCGACACATCTGCAGGATCTGTGGGGCGGCTACATCGTTCAGAATTCCAAATTAGTCGTTGCGAGGAGTTCTACGAGGGGAAATGCCGGGGCAGAACAAAACATACGTCGACATCACATACCTCCACAGCAATTCTGTGAGCACAAGAGAAATAACGACGCATATGTTCCCTATGGCGCGAAGTTTCCGTGGCCCCGCGAACTATGAAATCAATAATTAGCAGATTAGGCAGGTCGTTGTCTTCGAGTACGGCATCCACCGTCTCGAGTTAGAATAATACGTTGTAAGGAATAATAAGTTGTAAGGCCAAGGTCGCCCCCAGAGCCCCGTTGCTCCGGCGAGGCGCATTTGAAGGCGAGGTCGGGTAAAAGCTAGGACAGTATACTTCAGTATTTCTTAGCAAATAACTTGCTTGAATAAAAACGTAACCTACATTAATATCTCTCCATTTTTTTCACTCCTCTTATTGATAAATTGTATAATTTTGATATTATTAAGACTGAAACTTAAGAATACAAACTCCAATAAACATAGTAAGTAACTATCGAAAAAAATCTTACAATGGTGCACGAAGAGAACGAAGAAAGAAACATTAAGTGGAGTTAGTGCAACAAACACTGTTTGTGAAGAGATACAGTTCTTTATACTAATGAAAATTGTTTGGAAGAGTGTATATTACTGATAGATTTAAGACTTTTTCTTTTTACATAGTTATTGCTATTGGAGTTGTTGTCTTTTGTGAAAGTTCTTCTGTTTTGTGAAACCAAAACATTCTTCAGAAAGTAAATCATAAAGGAAAAGATATTCCACCTCTGAAGATGAGGCTTCAAAACAGCGATGAGCTACGAGCCAAGGTAGATATTTGAACAATAACCGTTCAAAAAGTTATCATCCACTACACTACCACACATGCCAGTCTCCTGACATGTGTGGTAATGTAGTGCATGTAAGTGTGTGTGTGTATTTATTTTTATTTTTTTAGTTTATTTTACGTCAAAATTCAAATCCTAGAAAGCTAAAAGTATTTGCTTCTTCAATTATCTTATCTTTTAAAACGAGCTTACATATTAAGGAGTGAGAACCTTGAAAGCCATGGACTATTTTGGCTGAAAGAATTTTGCAAATTGTTGATTTTTGCTGTTTTGTACAATTCATACAGGGCTGTCTGTACATTGACTTCATTACCAGCAACTAAAACCTAGTCATCTTGCAAACACCTCTATACTGTTGAATGTAGGGATATTTAGCCTCCGATTAATTTCTGTCCAAGCCTGATTACCACTAGAAGCTTTATATAAAGCGCAGTCTTGCTACTGATCGCCTGTTTTCGAGTGAATTCCTGCCATTCCATCCTGTCATTATCTTGTCTCTTGAAAGTAAACTTAGCTGCCCAACGCTGAATCCTTTTCAAAAGTTTTACACTGCATAATTTTGTACGGATCCCAACAAACTGTTTCATATTCCATTATCGGACGTACAAGAGATAAATAAGCAATGCCCTTCGCGTTTGCTGTTTTTTTTTAAGATGTGCATTACAAAGTGAAGAGATCTCCAGGCTTTTCCTACAACAAAATCTATGTGTCTTTTCTAGCTTAATTTACTATCGAAATTGATTTCTAGGTACTTGCATGAGGAAACTCTGAATAATGTCATTATTTACATGGTAATTTGTTTCTCTGTAAGACCCCTGCCAAAAGTGAAGGATTTTCTTTTAGAGCTATTTATGGTCATTCCATTATTTTCCGCCCAGTAATAATACGCATCAAGATCCCGTCGCAGCATTTCTTCACCTTCTTTTGAATTCATACTATGATATAGTATGCAATCGTCTGCAAATTGCCGAACATTTGAGATTAAGTGCGCTGGCAGATTATTGACGAACGTTAGAAATAGAAGTCGAATGAAACTCCCCTGGGGTATTCCTGACGTAACGCTTGCCCCCGGATGATAGCTTTTGCCCAAATCGAACTTTCTGTTTTCTGTCTCGCAAAAACTCGCTAATCCACGCCACCACCATGAAATCGATGCCTGAATGCATTAATTTCTGTACAAGCCGATCGTGGGGAACAACATCAAACGAAATCGAACTTCGGCAAAATCTATAACTATTGCGTCTACTCTCCCGCCAGCGTCAATTTCATCTGCTAGATCCTGAAATACTGTGACTACCTAACTTTCGCATGGGTAACCACTTCTCAACCCATGTTGGCCATCTTATAACCATTTGTTGATTTGACATTCTTACTTAATGTAACTCGCGACTAGATGCTCCATAAGTTTGCAGACCTCTGACATAAGACTTACCGGCCTATAATTACTTAATAAAATTTTGACTCCACTTTTGAAAATTGTTACGACAAAAACTAATTTCCAATCTGAAGATACTTTTGAATTGTTCATGGATATGTGAAATATTCTAATGAGGTACGATAATATTGCCTCTCCTCCTAGTTCAATAATATCCATAGAAATGTCGTCTGGACTCTTTGACTTACCATTTTTCATAGATTTATGTATTCCTTAGAACGTTTACTTCAACATTGAACTGATTTGTAACCGAAGACCTTTGAATTAGTGGATAGTGCGTATTGGTTTTGAAAGCCGAACTGAAATACTTATTAAACGCATTAGCTTTTGCCCGAACGTCAGTAATGAGTGAGTTTCTATTTTCACGAACAACTGGGATATCCTCTTTATTTTCCTTTTTTTCTAAGAACATATTTTTTATTATATCACGCTATTTAAAGTACAATAGTACAATACTGTGAACAAATTACCGCTAATGTAAGTATTAACAACGTGAGAGACCACTCAAAAAAATTACATTTGTATATTTTTTGTAATAAACAAAAGAATAGAGACATACGGCATTTATCATCGTTAATGAGATTCTGAACTTCTACACAGCCACGATCTCCTCGCCCCTGTTGGGGGGAAAATGTGGATGTGAAATTAGAGTATTATGTTGTTTAAATTTCAAAATATATTTGGTTGCATAGGTTTCCGCGGCCGGAGTTATTGTTGTCTAGGCTATCCGGGAAGAGCCGCGTCAATGTCATGGTGGCTAACGTTGACCACCATGACATTCACGCGGCTCGTCCCGGATAGCCTAGACAACATTTCAAAATATATTTGTACACGAAGAAGCGCTGCATTCCTAATCGCTGCACCCACTCGCCACAGTTCCATATGTCATGTCTTGCTTCACTTTCGTAGGAGCTGTTAGTCATAAGCGCACCAATCGCTGGCCTTGTCGCGTGAGTGTGTGGCGACTGCGTTGCCGCCAGGACGGTGATCCTGGACGAGCCGACGGCGGGCGTGGACCCGGCGTCGCGGCGCGCCATCTGGCGCCTGCTGGAGCGCGCGCGCCTGCAGGGCCGCACGCTGGTGCTGTGCACGCACCACCTGGACGAGGCCGAGCGGCTGGGCGACCGCGTGGCGGTGCTGGCGCGCGGCCGCCTGCTGTGCGACGGCTCGCCCATGTTCTTGCGCCGGCGCCTGGGCATGGGCTACCGCCTCGTGCTCGACGTGCTGCCGCCCACTGCCCGCCATGATGACCGCGACGACCAAGAAGACGACGGCGCGCCCACGCACACGAAGGTGAACATTTTTTTTTTTACAATTAAAAAAGGGAACAGTATCGCCTCTGAACTTATTGAACTTAAACAATTTCAAATGAACATGAAGAAAACAAAACTGTGAGTAATGCTAGAGAATGAATGAACATTATGTTAGACTTTTCGCTTTTACGTTCTTGTAGAAGTGTGCAAATATCTGTTTGCAAATGTATGTGACTCACCACTTACGTTTATTAAACTTAACTAACACCTTATTCACATAAACGTACAAAACAGTCACCATTTAATGTTAGATTGGCATGAAACGCTAGATTCGCATACAAAACCATTAATAGAGCAATTGCAAAAGTAGACGTGAACCCAAATTAGACTGAGTTTGTGAAGTTTCAGTATTTTCAAAAATTATGGGAGAAAAAAATGGGAGTGTTAAGGAAATCCGGGGAAGAATTAAATGTAGTTGTAAAAGATATTGCGACAGAATTTTCGGAACTAATCGGGAGTGCTCTGAATTTTTGCATTTAGAATGTGTGCTAATGCAAATGTGCTACGTGCATTTTTGTGCAAAATAGCGAAAACATGTAGCTGTACTAAAATTTAACTATTAGCATCATCAAAACGTACAAGTAATTGTTACGGCGATTATACTTGTAATTTTGAAATTTCAACAAGAATAGTTGTAATTCCATATGGAGGTCCACAGGATAACATACAAGGCCATTGGATGTTGGAACTTTTGATTGTATAACATTTTCAGCTACTACGATTCGTTTGCTCCAATGCCAGATACTGAAAGAACGTATTTGAACAAATCTGGGCACGAAGGAAATGAAGTATAAAAGAAACATTTTACTAGTTATTACATATTTATATATTTGAGAATCAAACTCAAAATGTACATTTACTCAAAGTGTACGGATGTGTTCATTCGCTTTTCTTTTAGGGGGAATCGTCTACTTCGGGTACAGAGCGCGGAACACAAAAACCTCAACATGTGACGCAAGCACAAATTGACTGTAAGTATTTATTTCCATTCTTTTACATTTTAAAGCAGAACGTTTTTCAAAATCACATGAGAAATAAATATCTAAAAATATTAGCATAAATACTTACATAAAGTTTCAAATGTGAATGTGAGTCCCAATGGGAGCGTATTACTATTTTATATCACGAGCCAAAGTTTCTTCTTTACAGTTGCACATTGGCAGAGACAGAGAAAAAATCAATCGGCACCATAAAAAACACATACTTCGCTCATAAATGTTTCCTGCAAATGTATAAAAACTATAATATTTGATAAAAGTTTGTAACTTTATAATGGAATAATATGTTTCATATATTCGGCATGGTACTTTACTAATTTATAGTACCATGAATGCGGAAGCGTTACTAAGGACTACGTCTGTTTACTTCGTTATGGTTCCGTGCCTGAAATACTTTTTACTTTCTCGCCGTTACGAATGAAAGAAGAAAAAGTCTTGTAGCCGCGTGCCGGAGAACGGCGAATTTTTGTCAGAAAAACTCCGAATGCCGGGCCCTGGTAACGAAAAAGGGGATAAATCCTGTTGCTATGTATAGTAAATTACTTTCTTTAACACGTGGTGTAGCCAAAATCGTTTTGTGGGTCTTTGATAGCTAAAAATCGATTGACGGCAAAACATTTGTCTATTTGTGGTCAACGCTAGCGCCTAAACCGCTCAGTCTTTCCAAAATCTCGATTTTCGGAGTGTTGCAAATCAACAGATGGTTCATGAGGATTATGGATTAGCCCATTGCTATGTTCTCAGGGGGGAGTGGGGACGGAATTGGGAAGGAAGTACCGCTAGCCAACCTTACATAACTCTTTAAGGTACTTCGACAGCCAACAGAAATGGGAAGGAAAACCCTGTTAAAATCAATCAACCAATCAGAAAGATAAATCTCTAGAGTTCTCCTACGGGGTGCGACGGCGACGATGAAAACTTTACCGGTGCCATCAAGATATAGTTCTGGAGTTCTTATTCTGTCCTGTATGTCATCTTCATAGAACAGAATAACATTTATTAAACATAAAGAACTTCAATCTCAATGGCTTGTAATCTTAAAATATGGAAATAAGGAAATATGGAAAACAAATGTTTGCTGCCTTTGAGGTCAACCAAACATTATGGGCCAGGAAGGTAAACTTTTGTCCTCCACGTCAACTTCATATGTTGCAGAACAACAATTTTTAATGAGTTTGTATACGCATTTTTTAATATCTCACAATAAAGTTTTCAGACTCGTCCTTTTCTATAACTGAATTATTGCTGAACAAGGAATTGCTATTATAATCTTTGACAACAATAGAAAAAGCCAGATTAATTGTTACTGCTGGTGGTTGAGGCTTTTGTTGTTTCCTTTGTTTCGTAGCAATGCCATATTATATCATGAAACTAATTTAATTCAATTTAATTCTACATTTATGTAGCTAGAGACGTTGCTAGGTACGTCAACAGTCACTGTCCCTAGGTACAACAATCTAAAATTATGAATTAACACGGTTACTATTAATTGTAGGTTACCTGTAAGAAAGAAGTATACACTTTGAATTGACTACATTCTATGCAAGTGTAGGTGTACTTCAATTTTGTAAAATAATAGTAGTGACAAATAATCGTTGACAAAAATGCAGAAATATTTACTTTTCACTCGTCAAATCTATTAAAATATTTTAAAATTGCGGAGCTGTTTACACTATACTTTGCTTAAATAATCACAAATGGCAATAAGAATGTAGAGAAAATAACAATCTGAAATCACAGACTTCTCGAAAACGTTTATCCTTAGGTACGACAGTACATGACTTTCACTTGTTTTCCGAACTGACAAGTTGGTCCCTTCTTTGGATAATTTCTTTTTAAATTCCTTTCCGACCTTGTGTAGGTGTACTAATAGAAATCCCAATCCACACAAATGTGCATATTAGGATTTCTCTTTTTTGTTGGAAAACAAGTTTTTTTTTCTGCTCTGGGTGCATCGATTGTATTGGTAGTTGACAATTGGCGAAAACAATAGTTTTCATGATTACTCGTGGGTGGTTTCGTGGCTGAAGGGTTGCGCGTGGGCTGCGGCAGGGCTGCTGTCGGTGGTGCGGTCGCACGTGCCGGGGGCGCGGTTGGTGCAACAGCTGGGCTGCGAGCTGCTGGTGGCGCTGCCGTACCCGCGCCGTGACACCTACTTCCCAGACCTCTTCAACGACCTCCTCGAGGCGCAACGCGCAGGCGCCCTGCGAGCCTTCGGGGTGCGCGACTCGTCTCTCGAGGAGGTCAGCAGGCACCTCTTGCTCTCTTTCGCATTGGATCGCGTTATTTCTCCCAATCTCTCGCTCCTCCTCACCCTCCCTCACTTAGTTTTACTCTCTCGTGCGTCCACTCTCAGCTCTTTTTCCCTCCCTTTGCCATCTAGCTCATTCACTGGCTCCCTCTTTCCATCTTCGCCCGCTCACGAAACTCACTCTTTCTCTATCTCACTCACTTCTTCAAGCGCACATCTCTCTCTCTTTCTCTCTTTCTTTCTCTC